AGTGGGCTTGTCTTGTGGCTAGAATTGGCCATGTTACCAAGACTGGTTGTTTTACTTTATAATAGAGTCTTCAGCTTCCCTTCCCTTTCCCAGGTTGCTGGAGATGGACTTGGAATTCTTCACTGCTTTTCTTCTGGTAACTTGGCTTCTCTGTGCTTTTCTATCTTCCTACTTCTTCCTTCATGGTTCCAGGATTCTCTTCCGCAGTTTCTCTTTTGAAAATTTCTTCTCTTTTTGTGTTACCAAAGATCGTCTCCCTTCACAAAGCCAAAACGATAGATGCCTCTAATCCACCATCCTGCCCACATCTCTTCAACTGCCCACTGAATATAATGATTCTTGGGCTGTAAAAGAATGCATGCAAAGGGCATTCAAGATGTTTATCCCAATGCCTGATCTGCAGTAAGCCCTCGGTACATGTCAGCCACTGTTGTATAGGACATGAGAGCACACACCCAGGAAACCGTCCCTCTCTCCCTTCCTCCTCTGGCTCCTTCCTTCCCTTTCTGCCCTCTTCTTCCCTCCTTTCCTTCTTTTTACAGGGTCAATACATAGCTCAGGTTGGCCTCAAACAAAATCCCCCAGGGTCAATCCCCATAAGTGCTGCTCCATCCCAGCAGGCCTAGAAATGGTTCTTAAGGGAAAATAATGACATCTGTTTAATGAATATCTGATGATTGCTAGGTATTCTAGTTGATTTTATGCTGTCTCCAACCCTTTTAATAATTATCCAAGAAAATCCTAGTAGTTATTTCATTCTGTTCTTAATTTTTTCAACACATTATACAAGGCCTATGATGTAATTCATCTGCCAAATGTAGAAACCAAGCCATAGGTTAAGAAAACTGTAATTTAGAATAAAACACAGTTACTTAATTGGAAATAAGTGTATATGTTTGTATGACTGATAGCTATAATAAGATGTCCAGTTTGAAAGGTTTCTTTTTTTTGAGTGAGATGCCCTATGCAGTTTAAGAGAAATTTCCTGTAAGACTTAAGACTTCCTGAGTTATGAACTTGAAGAGATAGGAATTGGCAAAGTTATTCTGAGTGGAGGAAAGAACATGGAATAAATCCAGGAGACTGAATGTGTAAGGAAAAGAGAAATCATTTGATTTGGTGAGAAGGAAGGTACAATGAGGTAGAAAATGAGCCTGGAGCAAGAAAATAATTTTTTCCTTATTGTATAAAGAATGAGTCTAGAAGAACTTTGTGTGCCAATTGTGTGCTACAGTGGATTACAGTAGACAGTGATTGTTGGTAGGCACATCTGTTTTTTTAAAGTTTTTTCTTTAAAATTTTTTATTATTATAAAAGTGATTACAGAGAAATTACAGTTATATAAATCAAGTAAAGAGTACATTTCTTTTTGGACAGTGTCTCCCCTTCCCTTGCTCTCTCCCCGTTTTTCCCTCCCATCCCCACCCACAAGTTGTCTAGTTCATTTTCAACATAGTGTCCAGTGAGTACCACTGCTGCGTTTGTTCACCCTTTGCCCCTCCATCTCTGTGCCCCTCCCTTTGCCCTCCTAAAGACAGGTAAATGAACAAACTAGACAAAAAGAAAAGATAACTAAAACAACAGAGGGGAAAAAAAACCTCTTCTTTCCATTTCCAGGCAGTTCTCTTTTAAAGTGTTGCAATAAATAATACAGTAAGAGCTAAAAACTGGAATTATTGTAGCAAGAACAGAATTTGGTAGAAAAGAGGGGACTAAAAATAATATATACATAGTTTCATGTAGGCAAACACTATTCTAAGAGTTCCACATATATTAATATATTCAGTTCTCACAAAAAGATCTATGAGATGGGTCCTATTACTAATTTCAGTTTTACTGATGAGGAAATTAGATGGGACATCTCAGGATTCGAATGAAGGATAATATTTATTTCTAGATTTGTTATAGAAACGAATGCAGGGAATACTGTGAAACCATAAAAATTTGTGCCCTACAATGATGTCTCTTTCTTTGAAAAGACATTCAACATTATTAAACAAGCTTAAAGTCATATCAAGCTTTCTTTGCATTTTTGTTAGCATCAATTAACTGTTCAGGTAATTTCATTTTGATGTGTTATGTATGCATACAATGGGCTTTGATGGGACTCACCCATTCCCTTACTATCTCTCATCCCTCTCTTTCCAGACAGCTCTTAACAAGCTTCATTGTCTTATTTTGCACACTTTTAAGCTTTTTAATGAAGTTAAGTAACATACACATTTCCCATCCTTAACCAAAACTCGAACTCTAAGAGTAGATATTGTTAATAGCTTGGTAAGTATCATTCTTAGTTATTTTCTTAGGCACATATAAACCTAAGTAGATAGATACGAGATTTAGAAGCCTTATAACAAAGGACAAGTGTTACTCTATTCTTTTTCACCTCTTATAAATACTTTCTACTTAAAATAATTTGAATACAAAGTGCCTAGTTACTTTGTAAAATACCTATATTTGAGTCCACTATATGCCCTGTAAGTTTTATATGAAATCAGAGTTATAAATTAAATATCTATGGAAGAAAGATATCATAAAACAAAAGAAAAATGCCATCAGCAATGTCTGTGGAAGAAAAACACCATCCTTAAATACAGCCTCGGTTTGCTGTCTTATGAAGTACTAAAACAAAACAATTACTAAGTTGCGGAATGTTTGCCATTGTAACACTTTAGTCACTATCATTCTGTACATTCCTTTGGTTTGTAGACTGTATGTTAGAAAAAATAAAGAATTCTTATTTAGCCTGTGTGGAAAAAGAAAAAGGAAAGAACAGGCTAATTATTAGCCAATCGAAATTCAGTTGTTCATTTTATGAATTGATCATGTCTTTTTCCATCTTACTACCTATAAAACATATAACGGGGCACCAGTTGCTCATTCTATAATCCTGGCTACTAAGGAGGCTTAGATTGGAGGATCACAGTTCAAAGCCAGCCTGAGCAGAAAAGTCCATGAGACTGTTATCTCCAATAAACTACTCAGAAAAGGCCAGAAGTGGTGCTGTGGCTCAAGTGGTAGTAGGCTAGCTTTGAGCACAAAGAGGCTCAGGACAGTGTCCAGACACTGAGTTCAAGCCCCAGGACTGGCAAAAAAAGAAAAGGTTCAGGGACAACGCCCAGACCCCAAGTTCAAGCTCCAGGATGGGCAAAACAAACAAACCCACATAGACATACTTCAATTGAAAGGTTTGACATGAAGAACTCTTGCTGCTTATTACTAACCAGCTCTAATAGAGAAGATGAGACTAATGGTGCAGTGGAGCTTTGGGGCCTTTCTAAGGCCTCTCCAAGGCCTTTTAATTTTGTACTGTTTCTATGTAAGGAAGCTTGCTCATGCAACTTAATCTTTGATTGGTCTAAAAACTCTTTATTTCAAAAATCTTTCTAAGCAAATACAAAAGTTGGATGGTTTCCACTAAACATCTTTCACCAAGCGTAGTAAGTGGATAATTTTATAAAACTCCATGCTTATATGTCTCACTATGCATCTAAACAGCCCATTTGCTGAGGAACTCTTAAGAGACTTCTTAAGATGAAATGGAATGTCTTACACATAAAGTGGGACCTGTCAGAGCTGACTAAGTACACTTAGGTCACCAGTAACTACAGATGTAAGAACTCAAGACTTGGTAACATGCCGGGATCCAAATGGGCAGAGACCACAGTGACCACTTTCAGTAACAGTGTTGTTCATTGAACTTTATGCAATGATAGAAAATGTTCTACATCTGTGCTGGTAATGTAGCTACTAGCTTACGGTGTGGCCATTGAGGATTTGTAAAGTGGCTAGTGTGACAGAAACGTGTGTGTGTTGGGGTGGGGGTGGGAGGCTGTTGTGGGACTTGAATTCAGGGCCTGGGTATTGTCCTTGAGCTTTTTACTCAAAATGCCCTACCACTTTGAGCCACAGTGCCAATTCTGGTCTTCTGGTGGTTAATTGGAGATAAACGTCTCCCAGACTTTCCTGCTCGGGCTGGCTTTGAACTATGTCCTCAGATCTCAGCCTCCTGAGTAGCTAGGATTACAGGCGTGAGCCACCCTGTGACTATTGGGGATTATCACATTGGACAGTTCATTTCTTGAACGTATCTTTCCTTGCCTCTCAACTATTCCTCCTCACAACGAAGACATAAGCACTTTTCTCAATGAGCATATGTTATGTAGAAAAAAAGACATAGTTAACCTTAAGATTAAGAATATAAAAGAAGCAAAGTAGGGAGGAAATGAGATGTGTCCAGCTGAGAGAAACAGAATGTAGGTGAAAATTAACCTGAGTCAAACAATGAGGTCCAACCTTCCAGGGTAGATGTCTTTTCTGGATTTATTCTGGGGAAATGCTCTATTTCTTCACAATAGAAGCTTCACAGTAAATAATAGCCTTCCCTTACTGCCCCAGAATGTCCCCATTGTCTGTCATCTGTGAGCCTTGTTAATGCTTCTTCATTGAAAAAGTCTGTAGCCTCACTGCTCCGTGAAATCACTTAAAAAATTAATCTAGTGCCCACTACATATGGTCAAGAGTTAATACCACATACTGTAACGGTACATCTGTTTATTCCTTTTTCTTGAGCAAATTAGAAACTTGAAAATGGACATTATGATTTCTTATAGAAGATTGCTGTATTTTCTAATAAAATACCCATATTCTGAAATTATTCACTTGCTCAGAGCCATTAAATAGGCCACTTCCATTATTATTATCACTCATGTAATAGCTTTGATATCTCTTTGTATAATTTTTATGTTCACAAGTTAAAATTTGTGTTATTTTTAATAAAAATGAGTGATTTACCATAGGATTTCATTAAAATAGTGGGGAACTTTCGGTATAATTCTAAAGAACTATAAGTATGATTGCTGGGGAGTAGGAATGGATATATGAATAGACAGTAATAAGATGATGAGTTGCTATCTAACTCACAGGATGACCTGATTTTACCATGCTTTGTACCTTCTAACATTTATTTTTAAGAATTTTGATACTTTTTTTCCTCATAGGTTTTTGCTTCAGTGTCTTGAGGATCTTGATGCCAATCTACGAAAATTAAATTCTCGTCTATTTGTGATTCGTGGACAACCAGCTGATGTGTTTCCAAGACTTTTCAAGGTAATTTGAAAACTATTTGCATAAAATAATCTTTGTCAGAGAAGATAACATACTTGGTAATAAATAGTAAGGCTCCCTTTTTTTTTTTTTGGTCAGTTGTGGAGCTTGAATTCAGGGCGTGGGTGTTGCCCCTGAGCTTTTTTGCTGCAGGTTATCGCCCTAAAAGTTTAAGTCACAGCACCACTTCCATTTTTCTGGTGGTTAATTGGAGATAAAAGTCTCACGTACTTTTCCTGCCTTGGCTGGCTGTGAACTATAATCCTCAGTTCTCAGCCTCTTGAGCAGCTAGGATTATATTATAGGCGTGAGCCACTGGTGCCCAGCAAGGCCTTTTTTTTTTTTAACCTAATTTGTAGGGAGTATAAGTATTTTTAAATGAAAATTTGTGGCTTTTTTCTTTTTTTGGGGGGGGGGCGGTCCGGTTGTGAGGCCTAAACTCTGGGCCTGGGTGTTGTTCCTCAGCTCTTCAGCTCAAGGCTAGTGCTCTACCACTTGAGCCACAGTGCCATTTCCGGCTTTTTTCTTTTTGCTTATGTGGTGTTGAGGAATCGAACCCAGGGCCTCATGCATGCAAGGCAAGCACTCTACCACTGAGCCACCTTCCCAGCCCATGGCTTTTTTATTTAATGAGAAAGTTACACATTATAAAATCAGAAATTGGAAAAAGTTTACTGTGAAAAGTTAAATCTTTTTTCTACCGTAAGTTTCTGGTTGCTCTCTTAGAAGTTTCAACTACTTGCCAGTTTCCTATGTATTGAAGTGGAAATATTCTTTGTAGTCACAAGAATCATATATGTATTTATATGTATAAATATATATGTAAATATATACATATATAGTGTGTGTTTATTTATGTGTTCCCCTTTTTTAACAAAACCAAAATGGTGTACACTAGAAAGTTTATAATAGTAAGTTGGGTACCACTGGCTCATACTTGTAATCATAGCTACTAAGGAGGCTGAGATCACACAATTCTAAGGGCCCAGCCCAGGCAGGAAACTCTATGAGACACTTGTTTCCAATTAACTTGTTTCCAAAAAGACTGAAATAGAGCTGTGGCTCAATTAGTACAGTGCTAGCCTTGAGCAATACACACACACACACACACACACACACATATGTGATAGTATCTATTTTCTGGAAGTCGCTGAATATATTTCCATATATATTCAATTATAATTATGTACTTAAATACGAATATGACATGTCATTTTCATATTGATAAATTGTGTATTCTGCTTTTTTGAAGTCTGAGCATCCTTGGATATATGTTATGATAGAAAAATTACTGTATGACTAGAATGCATTATTGCCAGTCTGTGTCTTTCTCTTGTTTCAGGAATGGAACATTACCAAACTTTCAATTGAGTATGATTCTGAGCCTTTTGGAAAGGAACGAGATGCAGCTATTAAGAAGCTGGCTACTGAAGCTGGTGTAGAAGTCATTGTGCGAATTTCACATACATTATATGACCTAGACAAGTAAGATTTCTGATTTTTATTATTTTATTTACCATTTTACCCATTTTTCTGTGTGCGTGCGTGCGTGCGTGCGTGCGTGTGTGCGTGCGTGTGTGTGTGTGTGTGTGTGTGTGTGCACGCCACTACTGGGGTTTGGACTCAAGGCCACTCACTTTTACTTAGTTGTTTTTTTTGTTTTTGTTTTTGTTTTTGTTTTTTTTTTGCTCAAGACTGGTGCTTTATAACTTGAGCCACAAGTCTACTTCCTCCAGCTTTTTGGCGGTTAATTGGAGATTAAAGTATTCCAAATTTGCCAGGCGCTGGTAGCTCACGCCTGTAATCCTAGCTACTCAGGAGGCTGAGATCTGAGGATCACGGTTCAAAGCCAGCCCAGGCAGGAAAGACTGTGAGACTCCTAAAATCCAATAAACCACCAGAAAACCAGAAGTGGCACTGTAGCTCAAGTGGTAGAGCGCTCACCTTGAGCTGAAGACAGCACCCAGGCCCAGAGTTCAAGCCCATGACCAACAAAAAAAAAAAAAGTATTCCAAATTTGTCTACCTGGGCTGACTTCAAACAATGATCTTCAGATCTCAGCTTCCTGAGTAGCGAGGATTACAGGCATGAATCTTCAGTGCCTGGCTCCATCTTAACTATTAACACACTGGTATTAAGTGCATAGACAGTAAGTCTTAAGTCATGGGACTTAAGTATGTAAAATAAACATAAATCATAGAATTGACATTTTATTTAGCTGGTATTTTTTGTTCACCTAATAACAAGTACCAAAATTATAGCCATTGTACATAAGATAAAAATCCTTATTATCAGTTTCAAAACCAATGCTACCCAGAGGTGGTTGAGCTACCGGCTCAGTTGATTGAGCACTTGCTGAGATGCACAGGACCATGGGTTTCATCTGCAGGACCACAAAAATAAAAAATAGAGCTCCTACTCAGACTCCTTATCTTTCTAGGGTGTTAGTGTAGTATATAGAAGTTTTTTTCTACAGTTTTCATTTTGTTATCATGTAGTAGCAGTATAGAATCACTGTAATCAATAGAAATTTCTTTTTTTTTTTCTTTTCTTTTTTTGCCAGTCATAGGGCTTGGACTCAGAGCCTGGGCACTGTCCCTAACCTTCTTTTTGCTCAAGGCCACTGCTTTACCACTGGAGCCACAGTGCCACTTCCAGCCTTTTCTGTTTATGTGCACTGAGTCATCAAACCCAGGACTTGATATATGCTAGGCAAACACTCTACCACTGATCCACATTCCCAGCCATCAGTAGAAATTTCTTATCACCCTATGTATTAATCAAAAATATGATTCCATTAAGAATATTAAGCGATTCATATATTAATGAATACATGAACACAATAGAAGATAGCAAGTAGTTGTAGAATTCTACTAAATGAAACTTAGTGGAGATCTGGGTCAAAGGCTAAGTTGCAGATATATGGAATAAACTCTAAAGTTAATCAAAGGATTATAGTCGAGAAAATGCCATTGAATTTGGGGTTTTGTTCATTAGATTTTTAACTGCTCCTATCACAAAAAAGTATCTGACATGAAAAACACGTCAGTTTTCTTTTATTATCTATGCAGTAATACTTGTAAACCTCAAATATATACAACAAAACTTATTTTCTACTGACCACTTCTTAATGTACTTATCAGCCTGCTTTAGAGTTCTGACTGATGATGAGAGATTTCTTGAGTTAGGTCATAATAAATTTGTACATGTCCATGTATATTAATTACTTGTTATTGTCTTGAGTTTAGCTGCTTAGTCACTTTTTCACTCATAAGATTTTAATATTTGCATACTATAGTTTTGTCACCGAATGGATGTCTAGAAAACAGAATGATTTTTAGACTCACTAATCATTGTGAACATGTTTTTCTGATGATATGAGAAGCTAACATTCTGGCAATTTGAAATAATAAATTTTCTGATTTTATGCCTTTTCAAGGCTTATTAAAGTATATTGTCATTTTTACTAACTGCATTTTACTAACTCTTGTAATAGGATCATAGAACTCAATGGTGGACAACCACCTCTAACTTATAAAAGATTTCAGACTCTCATCAGCAAAATGGAACCACTAGAGATACCAGTAGAAACAATTACTTCAGAAGTGATAGAAAAGTGCACAACTCCTCTGTCTGATGACCATGATGAGAAGTATGGAGTCCCTTCCCTGGAGGAGCTAGGTGAGTGTAAACTGTAATAAACCATAAGTTGCTCAGAAAATGTAATTTCTAGCCTGGTACCAGTGGCTCACACCTATAATCCTAGCTACTCAGGCAGGAGCCTGAGATCTGAGGGTCACAGTTTGAAGCCAGCCTGGGAAGAAAAGTCTGTGAGACTTTTTTTTTTTTTTTTTGGTTGGTCATGGAGCCTGAACTCTGGGCCTGGGCGCTGTCCCTCAGCTCTTCAGCTCAAGGCTAGCACTCTACCACTTGAGCCACAGCGCCACTTCCAGCTTTTTTTTTTCTGCTTATGTGATGCTGGGGAATCGAACCCAGGACCTCATGCATGCAAGGCAAGCATTCTACCACTGAGCCACCTTCCCAGCCCTGTGAGACTCTTATCTCCAGTAAACCAGAAAAAGCCAGAAGTGTCATTGTGGCTCAAGTGGTAGAATGCTAGCCTTGAAAACAAAGAGACTAAGGGACAGTGCCCAGGCCCTGAGTTCAAGCCCCAGGATTGGCCAAAAAAAAACTAAAAAAAGTAATTTCTACTTGTGCCACATAAAACATTTTTAGGAAGGAAGAAGGGAGGAAGGGAAGGAAGGAAAGGAGGGAGGGAGAGAGAAAAAGAAAGAGAAGGAAAGTGGGAGAGAGGGAAGAAGGAAGGAAACTGAAACATTAGGAGATAAATCTGTATATTATTTACGTGGTTTATAAACATGTGATCTGTTATCACATTAAAATATATTTCCTAGCTGGGTGCCAGTGGCTCATACAGATAATCCTAGCTACTCAGAAGCTGAAATCTGAGGATAATTAATTTGAAACTAGCCCTGGGAAGGTTAATTTCCAATTAACCACAAAAAGCCAGAAGTGGAGCTGTGGCTCCAATGAGTAATATGCTAGCCTTGAACAAATAAGTTCAAGGACAGTTCCCAGGCTCTAAGCTCAAGTCCTAGGACCAGCACCCCACAAAAAAGGAAAGAAAGAAAAGATGTGTATCCTAAAGCTAGTAACCATGTTATAGTCTTTTACAGGCCTTCAATTTTTTTTTCTGCTCTCACAATTTTTTTTGGGGGGGGGTAGTGGGGTGGGTCATGGGGCTTGAACTCTGGGGCCTGGGTGCTGTCCCTATGTTCTTCAGCTCAAGGCTAATGCTCTACCACTTGAGCCACAGCACCACTTCCAGTTTTCTAGTGGTTTATTAGAGATAAGAGTCTCACAGACTTTCCTGCCTGGGCTGGCTTTGAACCGTGATCCTCAGATCTCAGCCTCCTGAGTAGCTAGGATTACAGACGTGAGCCATGGGTGCCTGGCTCTCACAATTTTTTTACAAAACAATTTATGCTTCCTTGTTACTGTGGTAAAATGAAAGTTATTTTACTTTTAGCATAATTTTCCTTCTTGTTTTCTTAGGATTTGATACAGATGGCTTATCCTCTGCAGTGTGGCCAGGAGGAGAAACTGAGGCACTTACACGTTTGGAGAGGCATTTGGAAAGAAAAGTATGATAATATAGATTACATAGCCATATTCATACTTTCAAAATGGCATTATGGAATTTTAAAAACTATTTCCTTCCCTCCCTTTCTCATCTTCCTTCACATGCGCGTGCGCACACACACACACACACACACACACACACACACAGAGTATTGGGGTTTGAACTTAAGGACCTTGTGATTGCTACATGTTGTCACAGTATTTCCCTGGGACCGGTTTGGACTAGGATCTTACTACCTATAGTTTACACATTGCTGAAATTATGTGAACCACCTCAAATTGTTTGTTGAGATGGGATCTCACTCACTTTTTGCTCCAGTTGGCCTCAAACCCCAAATCTCGCAATTTCTACTTTGCAAGCTGGAATTACAATCATGTACCCTCACATCTAGTCCCACGTCAGTCTTTTAAAGCAAGAAATTGACTGTTGAGAAAACAATGATTGACAGAAATAGCTAAAGTAGCACAAACTTATTTGTTTGAAAATTAACAATTAGCTTGTCACTTAAATCTCGTTTTCCTCCTCTTCTGATTATTTCCCTGTTAGCTACTGTATTACCTTTTCTATTCTTCTACCGAAACTTACATTAGCTAACCATACCTTTGAAGCTATCCACAAGGAATATGTTATAGGACTTCAGTGGATTCCAGAAACCAGATAATACTGAACCCCATATTTAACGTGGTTTTTCCTATATATCCATATATAGGGTACATTTTATTCTGTTGTTATCATTACTGTTAACGCATATTGATAGTACACATTAATTGGTTTACCATGATGTTCCAAAACATGCACATATCGTACATTAACCGTACATCATCCATAAACCATGTCCATCTGCCTTCTATCCTCACCCTTTCCACCCCCATACTCTACTTATTCCCTTGTAATTATATTTTCAAAGCACCTTTTATAAAGTTTAATTTATAAGTTAGGCACAGTGAGAAAACAATAATGATAACAATAATAAACAATAAACAATAATAAAAGGGTATGTAAAGCTTGCAACTTCCTTGCTTGTGGGATTTTCCATTTAATATTTTCCAACTGTGGGTGACCATGGATGGCTAAAACTGCGGAGGGGGCAGAGTCTGTTGTATTTCACCTTTACCGCAGTGTCGAGGAGACAGAGCGAAGGTCCTTCTCATTCTTGTGCTGGTAATTTATTTCACACACGTATTGGCTACATGAGTATGGCTGAAATAATTCTCATTTTCTTTTTTTAAAGGCAGTTGGGGTAATTGTCTGTGTGTGTTTTCAGGCCTGGGTGGCAAACTTTGAAAGACCTCGAATGAATGCAAATTCCCTGCTTGCAAGCCCGACTGGACTCAGCCCTTATCTCCGATTTGGTTGTTTGTCATGTCGGTTATTTTACTTCAAATTGACTGATCTCTACAAAAAGGTATGGTCTAAAATTAGAGCAGATTTTTCAAAATACTTTTTTTTTTTTTTGTCGGTCATGGGGCTTGCACTTGGCCTGGGAGCTGTCCCTGAGCTCTTCAGCTCAAGGCAAGCACTCTACCATTTGATCCACAGCGCCACTTCTGGTTTTCTGGTGGCTTATTAGAGATAAGAGTCTCAGAGAGTTTGTTTTTTCCCTAGGAGGGGTGGGGGTGGGGGAGAGTGGAGAGGGGAAGGGATGGGGAAGGGGAAACAAAGGAGGAGGCAACAGTGCTTGATAAGAAATGTACTCACTATCTTGCCCATGTAATTGTAACCCCTCTGTTTGATTTTTTTCACAATTAAAAAAAAAAGAGCCTCACAGACTTTCCTGCTGGGGCTGGCTTTGAACTGTGATCCTCAGATCTCAGCTGCCTGAGTAGCTAGGATTACAGGTGTGAGCCACCAGTGCCCAGCTCAAAATACTTTAAAAAAATGTTGATAATATTTCTTTGCTTCTTAATCACAGGTAAAGAAGAACAGTTCCCCACCGCTTTCTCTTTATGGGCAACTACTATGGCGTGAATTTTTCTATACAGCAGCAACAAATAATCCCCGCTTTGATAAAATGGAAGGGAACCCCATCTGTGTTCAGATTCCTTGGGATAAGAATCCCGAGGCTTTGGCTAAATGGGCAGAAGGCCGGACGGGTTTCCCCTGGATTGACGCCATCATGACGCAGCTCCGTCAAGAGGGCTGGATTCACCATTTAGCCAGACACGCAGTGGCTTGCTTCCTGACACGAGGCGACCTGTGGATTAGCTGGGAGGAAGGAATGAAGGTAAATGCTCTAATTGATGTGGTGTGGCCCTACGTTGAACCAATCTAGACCTTATTTTTGAGAAAAATATCCTAGAAGTTGTCTATTGTACAGGTTTATTTACAGTCTCCTTTTTCAGTACCTATTGTTAGGTTTTTAAAAAGAGGTAGCCGAGTAAGAACATGGTATTCAGGTAAAGGGTAGGTTTATTCATCATTCCGGCTGGCACCAGGCCATCTTGGTCTTCCACGTGGTGGGGAAAGGCCTGGGAAAGAGAACTGGGAGAGCTGGGAAAGAGAGAAAAGAGCTAGAAAAGAGAGAAAAGAGCTAGAAAAGAGAGCGTCTGGGAAAGGTGGGAAAGAGAGAGCTAGGAAAGAGAAGGGAGCTGGGAAAGAGAAGAGAAGGAAAGAACTGAGAAAGAGCTAGAAAAGAGCAGAGAGAGAGCTAGAAAAGAGCAGAGAGAGGGCGTCTGGGCCTGGGCTAGGCCTTATCTAGGGTATGGGCAGAGAAAGGTGTGGCCACATCAAATTCAGATGTGACCTCAGCGGATGCAGATGTGACCTCTTCCAGGTGTCCCAGTTGCCTAGGTAACGCAGGTACTGGGTGGAGACTTTGCTGCGAGGAGGGTGGAGTCTGCTCGCCATCCAGGAGCGGACCTTACACCTATGGCATATAATCCCAGTACAGACACAGTTTGGAGGTAGCTTGATAAAACCAGGAGGAATGGGATACATTAAACTGACCTAACCATTAGTGACTTGAATGGTTAAACCAACCTAGCCATTAGAACATTAGGACAACTAGTAAGATTTAAAACTCTGGATTTAGTGCATATTTTTATAGATGGTTGTTTCTATACGAAAAGTGTTCACTCAAGAGTTCTTAAAAATAGAGGCTGGGAAGGTGGCTCAGTGGTAGAGCTCTTGCCTTGCATGCATGAGGCCCTGGGTTCGATTCCTCAGCACCACATAAGAAAAAAAGCCAGAAGTGGCGCTGTGGCTCAAGTGGTAGAGCGCTAGCCTTGAGCTGAAGAGCTGAGGGACAGCGTCCAGGCCCAGAGTTTAGGCCCCACGACCGGACCCAAAAAAAAAAAAAGAGTTCTTAAAAATAGTGAATTCCTACTATAAACCCTAAAATTGCAAATCTTTTTACCTCACTAAACATCTTCACCTACTAAATATTCACCTTTTCAGTAACACTTTTATCATATAAAGTGAAAAGCATACTACATTTGTAACTTCATCTTCTAGTTATACACAGCAGGATTTACCTATATATTTTTTCCTTTCTAGCTATATTATTATTTATCTATCTAAGAACTATACGAGATTCTGTGGGGATTTTTTTGCCTCCTATAAGTATAGAGATGTACATGAGGAAGGAAGATTACATACCTACTTGATAAACATAGAAAATTATTTATTATGTTGCCTTTTGGATCAAGGAATTAGAAGTGTAAACTGGGGAATGTTGGTAAATTGTGTTTGGTTTTTTTTGAGCTGTAGCTTTTTTTAATGGTTATTGTAAAAGTGATTTACAGGGACTGGGAAGGTGGCTCAGTGGTAGAGTGCTTGCCTTGCATGCCTGAGGCCCTGGGTTTGATTCCTCAGCACCACATATGCAAAAACAAAAAGCTGGAAGTGGCGCTGTGGCTCAAGTGGTAGAGCGCTAGCCTTGAGCTGAAGAGCTGAGGGACAGCGCCCAGGCCCAGAGTTCAGGCC